ACTGTATGGAGAACAGGAGCCACTGGGTACAATTGAAGTCATGGTAGATGCTGGAGCACACTAAAGACACTTCAAATTATTTCCCTCACATCTGGATCCTACTGGATGTGTCTGTTGTCCTTTGTCTGGGTGAAGTAACGTATACACACAGGCATGGTAGTGCACTATATGGCTTTTTACGTCATGGTCACCTTTAACTGTGCGATGGAGCGTGTTCCAAACAAAGGACAGAGTTGTTGTGGCCACAGGCTAGCAGTTGCCTGAGTTCTGCTTAGCCCATAGTATTTCTTATGATATTAAAAATGCTCATGGGTTTCTAGATGAAAAAAATTAGTAGTGTTCACATTTAACGCCCTCCCCCCCCAGCAACAGGTGTCTGTCTGTCTGTCTATCTGTCTGTCTGTCTTCCTGATTTGGCTCTCTTGAGCCAGCATGTATGAAGGGCACAGTTCACAGAGCCCAGTCATTGCTATGTGATGGGAGCACATGCTGTCCCCATTTCACCTCCACTTCACATGCTCTCATCACCTGTCTGCCTGGAGTGGGAAATGCGATTCCTAGACTTGGGTTGCAGACTGTCTTAAGTTTCCTCCCTGGGCTGAGACATTACTTCTATGGAAGCTGATTGAGTATCCCCTGGTATTATCTCCCAGGATTGTGCATGTTTCCATCCTAGAGACATGAGTCAGGGGTTCTTATCCCAGCAGGGACCTTTCACGATAGAGATACTATCTCCTGTCTTAGTTTTGTACAGGCCGGATGGTTCCATTCCAAGCATGAGAAATAGATTTTGATGAGTTTCTTTTTTTTTAAAGTTAGGCTTTATTTAAAAGATGGGGCAACTCAGATGATTTAGGAACAGAGAAAGGCCTGGCATGATGCACATGAGAAATGGGCACACAGAAGACAAGAAGTGCTAGAAGGTGAGGTACCGGATGGATCGCCTCTGAAGATGCTCTCCTGTCTTCCTCATCCTCTCAAGAGTGTGGCATACCATATAAAAGAATCGGACACAACAGTCCTCTACGGCCAGGAGCACTGAGAGAAAGGACTTTCCCTACAGGGAGTCCAGGTGCTGTTGCTGGACAGGGGAGTCAGAGGGTGGGTGTTGGCAACAGAAACCACAGATACTCCTGGACCCCTCCTCCAGCTGCTGAAGGGGGCAATAAGGTAATAATGTAGAAGGACCACATGGAGTGGTGAGGTGGCAGCTGCATCAGGCCAGACACAGAAGGCCTGAGCTGAGCAGCTAGAACATAGGAGGATGCTCTAGTTCTGCCAACCTTTGCTTTAGCCAGTTCATTTAAAACACACACACACAGACACACACAGGACAGACAAGCAGACAGACAGACAGACAAAAAACCTAATTTTATACATTCAGAAGAAAACCAGCTTCATTTTCATCATGTTTTTAGAACTATCTAGATATGTGTGACTTGTATTCTCTTTGATACACATTCCTATTTGGGTAAACTAGTGTTTATAAAAATAAAGTGTTCTAGAACCACTGACTTGAAATTAAAATAACAGTCCTGGGGTTGGTAAGACAGCTCAGCAGGTAAAGAGGCTTGCAGCCAAGCCTGACGGCCTGAGTCAGGCACTGGGGACCCCCAGGATGGAAGAGAAGCAACTCTCACATGCACATGAGGCACCCATGCATGCGCATAGATACACACACCCCAAAAGTGAAGAAAGGGGTTAAAAAAAAATAAATGGGGGACTGGAGAAACAGTTCAGCAGTTAGAGTACATAGGTACTGTTCTTGTAGAGGTACTAAGTTTGTCCTCAGCACCCATGTCAGGCAGTTCACAACAACCTGTATGTCCTGGTCCAAGGGCCCCCCAACACCCTCCTGCACATATCCACACAGGAGCACACACACATCCTACACATAGTTTAAAACAAAATGGAAATCTCTGGGAGTTAATAACAACTAGTAACATTCACAAATCTTAAAAGATATTGAGATTCACCGCTCTATCTGATTTTTATGTCTTTACTTGTTTCTTTGCCAGATCTTGATTTGTAACAAGCAGTGAATGACAACACACCCCCACCTCTAACATGGGTGGGAAGCAAAGTAATGATTCAGACAGGAGGGGCCGTCCAGAACGCCTCCACTGGGGAGCAGGAGCAGGGAAAGTCACAGCCTTTCTTTTTTTTTTTTTAAAGGCAAAACAAACAACTCACAATGACCAGTGAGTGAAAATCATTCCTAATAATAGCTCATGGTAGGCAATTCCCTGGGAAAAAAATCATTGGTGTGCTGAGAAAATAGGAGTGTGAACGCACGGCGTCTGGACACGTTTCTTTAGGCGATTGTGCTTTGGAGTTTGCCCTGTGTGCCATGTACATTGATTAAACCCAGAATATATGCTGGCCATTTTTGACCATCATTTACCGTATTGATTTGTTAGCAAGGGAACTGTAATAAAAAAGCCATTGATTTACTGTCCTTATTTGCTTATGGGCTTTTTTTTTATTATTAATTTTTCACTTTTTCTTTCTCTTTTGGGGATCGTTTCTTCTAGACAAATGCGGTGCTTCGTGAAGTTAAGAGAGAGGGGCTCCCGACGGAACAAAGGAGTGAGATTCTGTCTGCCATCCTGGTCCCACTCACTGTACGCCAGAATCTGAGGAAAGAGTGGCATGCCAGGTTTGTGCTGCTCGGAGGTGGGGTTTGCTGTCCCTGACCCGGCTCGGTGTGTCCCGTGTTATCTGTGAGACCATAGAAAATAACCACGGTGAAGACATTCAGAGCTAAAGTTAGCTTTCCTGCCCATGGTAACCTCATCAGTTATAATGATGCCCGACACTGTCCATGTTCGTGTACAGGTTCTCCTCTAGTGTATCATGTAGGCTGTAAGCTTGCATCTTGAGCATAATGTAGCTCTGATGCCCAAGCACCCTTTCTGATTAGCAGTCTGAGGCTAGCTTTGCCATTCAGTCAGGCAGATGCCTGGGAAGTTCACTGTGCCCGCTCTGTCATGGCACACGGGCAGAGCATTTGGAAATACTCATCTGCTTGCCTCATTTTCAGAACTGGCTGAGGAGAGATTACTTTTGCTTCAACCTGGTTTCTTTGTGCATGAAGGTACCCATGATTAGAAAGCTGTCACGATGGAAAGTTTGTGTAAATCACCAGTTCTGATGAAATGTGCTTGTCAGTGAAGGCTAGCGGCATCTGCCTGAAAAACAGTTGATATCCAAGAGGTTGGAGTCGGCTCCTCCAAATGTTGGGATTCTTCTACATGTGGAGCTGGTAAACTGAACTCTCATCCATCTCTGCAAGAGAAGGAGGCGTCAGGAGATGATACTGTGTATTGTTCCACAGTTATATGTGATGCCTAGAAATTCTCTGCCTGGGAGTCAAAGCATGTTTTTATTGATAACCATAATATTCTCTAAAACTTCATACTGAAAAATTTATAATAATTGATAGCTTTACTAGTAATTATGATCATAAAAATAACACGTTTGAAAAGGAATGAAGGCATGGGCAGCACTTTCCAAGAAAGGTGCCATGAGCCATTGCTTCTCACCAGGGATCAGAACGTTGCTTCTTCCGGGCTGTGTGTTCTCTGATTCAGGCCCTCATTTAAGGGAAACATCATGGTTTTCAGTATTGCCCTTTCTCACAGTGCGTTCATAGTAAATGAATTTTCAACAACATGACTGGGGGATGATTTACCATTTAACTTTCAATAATTACATTCTGGCGTTTTAGTGTTACCGTTATTATATTTGTATTATATATTTTTTTAAATAATGGACTATCAGCATCGGGCCATCAGAAAGGTTTCTCTCTCTCTCTCTCTCTCTCTCTTCTCTCTCTCTCTCTCTCTCTCTCTCTCTCTCTCTCTCTCTCTCTCT